CAAAGTCAAATTTTAATACCACAAATCAAATGCAGTAATTTACTTAAACGTAAGAGGACTGCAACAAGTGATAGTCAAAAATATAAGAGAAATGCTTTTGAAAGACAGAAAAGGTTGAATGAAACTGAATCTGAAAGACAGGCTAGGCTAGATAAGAGAAATGCATTTGAACGACAGAAAAGGTTGAATGAAACTGAATCTGAAAGGCAGGCTAGGCTAAGTAGGAGAAAATCCTCTCGCAAAAAAATAATTTCAAAGAAAAGTGAGTCAAACAAAAAAGTTGAATTGCAAAACAGAGACAAAAATAGCATATCCAAGAAAAAAGTAACAATCAGCAAAAGCACACAAAACAATGAGTTAAATAATCAACAAACATATTTGAAAGAATTCAGTACATTATTACATGGTGAGCTTCACATCCAGTCATGGGCAAAAACAAATATTTCAAAATTTCACAAATCAAATACATATGCTGTTTGTCAATGTACTGTATGTTATGAAGCATGGCCTTTAAGATCTGATTCAAAAAGTCGAGAGAAGTATGTATGCTCAAGATGTTCAAGAGATAAAAAAAATCCAAAAAAGTTTTCTGCTGAAAATTCTATGATTCCATCTCCTGTTCCGAAAGAACTACAAGGTTTATCTCAAGTTGAAGAAATGCTTATTGCCCGAGCTCTTCCTATAATGAGGATTTATGTTAAACCAGGAGGACAGAGAGGTTATTCTGGGCACTGTATTAATTTGCCACAAGATGTAACAGAACTTGCATCCTCATTGCCAAGGTATCCTAAGGACTTATCTGTCATTATAGTGAAAATGAAAGGTAAAGATAGTACATTTAAAGATGTTAATGTAAGGAGACAAAAGGTCCATGATGCTTTATTGTGGTTATTACAGAATAATCCACATTATTCAGATGTCAAAATAAATGTGCAAGCTTTAAATACCTTACCTGACAATCATGTACCATCAGAACTTTTGACTGTTGAATCTGAAAATGAGATTGTTCAGGAGGACATGGTTGACCTGCTGTTGGTCCACCTACTGATAACCCATCTGAAGATATAGTGTATAATGAAACAATTGATATGAGTAGCTTTTTGCCTGTTGGTGAAGAACAGCAACAAGAACTTGATGCTATAAGAAGTCAACTTCTTGCAGATGAACCAATTGCTTGGCCGACAGTTCAAGATAAACCACTTAATGAGTATCAAATATCTTATTTAGCCACCATGGCATTCCCTACTTTATTTCCTGATGGTAAAGGGGATCCAACTAATGAAGCATTAGTTAGAGATGTTTCTCTAGGAGAAGCCGTGAAACATTTAATAAAATTTGCTGAAAATGTAGATAACAAGTGGATTTATCGCTTTGCTAGCCACCCTAGATTTTCTTATTGGGCATTTAATATGATTCTCAGAAAAAGGACTTTGCAACAAAGTGGAATATTTCTTAAACAGAATCCTGGTGAGGCACATCTTAGCATTCAAGAATTACACGAGATGGCTGCAAATGATAACTCAGCTGCATTTATGGCAAAAGTGTCACGATATGTTGCCAATATTGCTGGTACAAGTGCATACTGGCATCGAGTTAGGGAAGACCTTAAGGCGATAGTGACAAATGTAGGAACTCCTACTTTCTTTTTTACTTTTTCCTCTGCTGATATGCACTGGCCGGAACTACATGCCCTTTTTGGAGATCATGATCATGTAATAAATTGCAAAGAAAGACGAGAAAATGTAATTAATAATCCCCATATTGTTGATTGGTTTTTTACTCAAAGATTAGAGCATTTTGTGAAATACTGGCTCTATGATACTCTTCATGCTAAATGGCACTGGTATAGATTTGAATATCAAGGTAGAGGTAGTATCCACTGTCATGGTACTGCTAAACTTAATAATGACCCTGGCTTATGTGAGCTCACCAAGATAGCATTAAAGGGATTCCTAGCTGAGAAAATTAAGAATGAAAATCCTAATCTTAAAGATTCGCAGCTTGACCTAGATATTGAAGCAGGTAACAAAGCTGCCAATACAGCTTGTCAATATGTTGATTGGTTATTATCAACTGTTAACCCTAATTCGCCTGATGAAAGTATGTGGGTTAGACCAGAGCTACATCCTTGTCAGAAGCAGTTCAAAGATATCCCTGATTGTGACATGGATTCTGACTATGTAGATCTTTTAAACATGGTTCAACGTCATACTCGTTGCAGTACAAACTATTGCTTGAGGAAGAGTTGTAAAATGCTGAATTAAACTGTAGATTTCATTTCCCATTTGATAAATGTCCAAAGACATATTTAACATTTGAGAAGGTACACAGTAAAAACACAACTGATTCACACTACAGAGCTAAAATTGTCACTAAGAGAAATGACTGTAGACTAAATAACAACCAGCGGATTCAACTTCAAGGTTGGAGAGCAAACTGTGATATACAGGTTGTTATTGATCATTATGCATGTGTGGAGTATCTCACTAAATATGCTGCTAAAGGTGAACCCAGATCACCATTACTGAAACAGGCATTCAACTCTATTGTTAAAAGCACCAATTCCTTAAGTGATCCACACAAGGCTATTAAGAAGGTAATAATGAAGACCCTTGGCGAAAGAGATTATGCTGCTCAAGAAACTATGCATCATTTATTATCATTAAAATTACACAGTTCATCATTTAATATCATTCCAGTCAGTTTAAATGGCTCACGTCGAGTACACATAAATCCAGAACGACCAGAAGGTGACGAGGATGTATGTACTGACAGTTCATTACTTGATGTCTATGCAAATCGTGAACACTACAGTGATTTCTCCGATGTAATTGGTATGAACTTTGTTGAATTTGCAACTACATTTAAAGTTGTAAATACTAAGTTAACCAACCTTCCACCTAATGTTATTCCACGTATATTTCCAACGTTTTCCTCAAACCCTAAAGGGCCTAATTTTTCAGCATATTGTAAATACCAGCTTTTGAGGTACAAACCATGGAAACTAACCCCAAATAATGCATGGGATGACCAAGAACCGTCTGACGAAATATTCGTGAGGTGTTGGCATGACTTTTTGCAAACACCATATGCACAAAACAATGTACCCGACTGGTTTGATAAACTACAAAATGTTATTGACAATCAGGAAGAAAATGATGATCAAGTTGCATCAGAAACTAACACTCGTGAAGAGTGGATGATCATTTCCGATCTACATACACCATTTGAGAACAATGATGACCATTCTTCATTCTATAATTGGCAACAAGATAGAACAAAATACACTGAACAACAAATTGGTGAAATGCCTACGTGGATTAAGGATCATAAAGAACACGCCAGTGACATAAATGTTCAAAGCCATGCAATTATTGACGTCAGTTCCTTCAGTGAAATGCAGAAACTTGCATATAAAATTGTAAGAAATCATTTTGAAGATAGTTCAATACAGAAAGATCCTCTGTGTCTTATAGTCACAGGTGGAGCTGGTACAGGTAAAAGCTACCTCATAAATGGGATTCGTAATCTTCTAGAGAGTAAGTGTGCAGTTACTGCCACAACAGGTAAAGCCTCTTATAATATTAAAGGTGTTACAATTCATTCCTTACTTAAACTACCAGTTGGCCCTAGAGGCAACAAAGACCTCACAGGTCAAAACTTGTGTAGATTACAAAAAAGTCTTGATGGTATAGAGTACATACTCATAGATGAGTATTCCATGCTTGGTCAAACTTTATTTGGATGGATAGATAAGCGTTGTAAACAAGCATCTGGATATTATAACAAAGTACTTGGTGGTAAATCCTTCATCTTAATTGGTGATCCAGGCCAGCTACCCCCTGTTGCAGATAAACCACTATACCATGCAAGACCATCTAATGGTGTCGGGGAACAGGGTTTTCAGACCTATCAGATGTTTGACAAAGTTGTCAAGCTTAATGTCAATCAAAGAGTTGATGGTGTTTCTGCAGAACATAAGAAATTCAGAAATTTGTTGTCAAGACTGAGGAAAGGTGAATCAACATATGAAGACTGGCAAATATTGTTATCCCGTCAGCCATCAAATATTCCCGATATTTCACAATTTGATGATGCTATTAGATTATTTTATAGCAATGAACAGGTGGCAACATATAATTACGAGCAACTCATTAAACTTCAACAACCAATTGCCCAAATCAATGCTTCTCATTCATCTGTTGTAGCAAAAAAAATACCGTGTGATGAAATGTCAGGTTTACATCCAACAATTTACCTTGCTAAAGGAGTTAAAGTAATGTTGACAATGAATTTATGGGCCAATGTTGGGCTGTGCAATGGGGCAACTGGAAAAGTCATTGATATCATTTATGAAAATGGACACAATCCACCAGATTTACCAATAGCAGTAGTAGTTCAATTTGATGACTACCAAGGCCCTTCTATCAGTGATATACATCCATCATATGTACCTATATGCCCAATAACAGTCTCTACTCAGTCACTTAATACTTTTCATGAAAGGCAGCAAATTCCTCTCAAACTTGCATATGCTCTCACCATCCATAAGAGTCAAGGTCTTACTTTATCTAAAGCATGGATAGATATTGGTAAATCAGAGAAAACTCCTGGAGTATCGTATGTTGCTCTAAGCAGAATAAAAACACTCTCATCATGTGTTATTGAGCCTATGACGTACGAAAGGCTAACCGCCATAAAATCGTCCGCAACACTCAAGTTTAGATTAGATGAAGAAGATAGACTAAATAATATGGCACAGGATACCTACAGTGTATTTAATGATCAATTTATAAGTGCTATTTAGATTGCAAAATTTGATATTGAAATTTTCTTTACAAATTTGTTAGTTATTTCTAATTCTGAAATACACCAATGATAAAAGTACCATTTAAATTTCAACATTTTCGTTTTTAGGTAAGATTTAAGTAACGGCTGTGTATTTATATTTATATGAAATGAAATATCCTTTAACATAATTTTTTTCATTCCAGATAAAAATGTCAAAACGAAAAATAGAAACAGGTAATATTTTTTAATGTTTTTAATATTCCATCAACATTCAATTTAAACGAAGCTGATGTATAGAATTAATCAGAGGGTGATAATTTGTTTTTGCTTAACTAATATACATTATTTTTTTATACAGAACAAGAACCTTTGGAAGGCTATATTCACTCGGTATCTCCGATGAAAACAGCAAAAACGTCAAAAGTAAAATACTTCAACTATTCTTTGGAAAAGCATGACAAGACTTTGAAAGGTGTCTGCTTTTCTCCTCAGAAGTATACAGAAATAAAAACCTTGGAGAAAACTAAAAGTCCTATAAAAGTGGAAAATTACAAATTTTCAACAAATAACGACATCATAATTGACCAGAAGTCGTCACTGTCACCTCTTGAAAACATCCCATTTGCCATGTCTAAAATCATAAAACCCAATGATGTGACCAATATTGTATCCCTGATGAATGTTACTGCAGAGTAGGTTATTACCCTCAAGGCTGAAGTAACACACGTTGCATCTGTGAAGAAAATTATCAGTCAACACCATGGTCAATTGCAGAAGCAGGAAGTAATGCTAAGAGATCCAACAGGAACTATCAAACTGGTATTATGGGAACAATACGTCAATACTCTTATTGTCAATACAACGTATATCTTGGAAAACATGAAATTGAAAGTCTACAACGACGAGAGATACCTCAACACACCGAAAGATGAAGACTTCAAACATACAGAAGTTGAGCCATTTCTACAGCCATTACCAGAAGCCGAACATGTCATTGATACACCGTCAATTTCCGGCAAAATAGTTGGCATTAAAGATGTAACCACTGCAACAGCGTGCACCTCTTGTGGAAAATTAACCCAACCATATCAGTCTTCAACCACGCTTGGCCAATGTGAAGCATGCAATCTCATACAAATTCTAAGCTCATGTAAACTTCATTGGTCCCTGCGCCTTCTGGTCAAGGCTTCAGATAATGTAACAAAGCGAAACATCACCCTTTATCACCAACAACTTCTTCAACTGCTCAGTGTTTTGAATATACACCTTGACCTTAATTCGGTTTCTGTTGAGGAACTTACCATTTCTCTACTAGAAAAGAACGCAGAAGTGAAAATTGATTATGAAGGAGGCAACAATAAACTCATAAACATTTCAAAATTATAAACAAACTGGTTTTCCAAACATTCTTTCCATTTTGAAGTTACTTGTTATTTTTAATTTAAAAAAAAGAACATGCATAGAGTATGAAAACTAACAGTATGAACTCGCTTTCAAAAAATTGTTCTTGTTCGAAGTTTTGTTATTTAAAAAAAAGAACATTGAACATATTATAAACCTATAATTTAGATATATTCAGATTTTGTTACGAAAAAAATAATAAAAATCGATATGTACATTTCGCAGCACTTCACTTTCTATTAGAAATTTCTAGTATTTAAAAAATATAGCATCTTAAGGCTGCTTTCCACTTTCGCGTTTTTAGCACGTACGTACACGCACGTAAAAGTTTAAGTGCCTTTAAATTTTTATTATTCAACATCTAGGTCAGCAAATGCATACTAAGCTACGCGGAAAACTAAGTTCTTTCAATTTATTCATTTCGTTTTTTTAAAGATAACTTATATAAGCATTTAGACTTTTACGTGCGTGTACGTGCGTATGAAAAACGCGACAGTGGAAAACAGCCTTTAACATTGACCTTATCATTATGCTAATTAGCTTAACATTCACCTTATCATTTGATAATTTTGAACAAAATTGCGGTGCCCGCGCCAAGTTTGGCACCGCATTATATTCTGCCTGTGAGTTTGTTTGTTCGCATCAATACGTTTCCTTAATCGCCTAGTAAAAATTCCTTGCACATGCTTGGAATGCTTAGAATTTTTTCCTAATTATTACTATTAATCTTGTTGTACGTTTGCCAAATTCCTTTTTTAAAGGAACGTTCTTTTTTCAATTTCAATCTCAAACTCTGATAATTGCGTGTATCTCTGCTTTTATGCACCCAAGAAGGACAAAAATACCACCATTCGATTCAGCGTAAGAAATTATACTTTTAGGACTTAAATATATTACTAAACAAGAGTATTCGCAGCGATTTATGACGTTTGAAAAACAAACGAAATTGAATTGTTGACAAATCGCTCAAAATTACTATGCTATACTTTACTAGTAATAGTAAGTTTGGTCTTTGATATCTTTCATATCGTTGGTTTTCTCTTTTAATTTTCGTCCTTAAATAAGTGGATCGGTCTTACATTACGATTTATTTTATAGTACTTTGAGCCAAATTAAAGTATAGTTTCAATAAGCGAACTTTATGACAAATCGCTCAAAATTATTACACAAACTAAAAATGCAGTACGCTTAATCCTTGACTTCTGTATCGTTGCTTTTCTAGTTTCCGGCTCTACACCAGTTTATTCGTCTCACGTTTCTCTTCATTTTGATAGTATTTTTAGATAATATTTTTAGCCTGAATATTTTATTTCTGAAGATTTTAAAACGGCGCAATTTTGACCTTAATGTCCAACCAACCAGGCTGCGGCCGACAGGAGAATGTAAGTTGGTGATGTCGTTAGAAATGAGCGGACGTTTTATTTCTAGGCAAGCATTGCGGGCACCGCATTTTAGTACTGTGTCTGGTTCCCATTATTTTTGTGTAAATGTGTATTAAATGTCACCATATAGTCACAAGACATATCGATGAGCTATATTTATGATGAATCTTTTGATGCAAAGCCATAATATTTAAAAAATATAACATCTTAACATTGACCTTATCATTATGCTAATTAGCTTAACATTCACCTTATCATTTGATAATTTTGAGCAAAACTCTCTTTATTATTGTATAAATGTGTACCAAATGGCACTAAATAGTCACAATGCATATTGATGACTTATATTGATAATGATTCCTCTGATGTAAAGCCAAAGTATAGAAAAAATATAGCATTTTAACATTGACCTTATCATTATATTTTGTTGTATAATGTTCACTCCCCCCTGGTAAATGGTTCTTTTGCAACAAATAGACTCCTTAAGTAGATAAGTTGAAAATAATGGGAAAATAAAAGTGGCATCTTAACATTCTACTTATCATGTAGTGTGGACGCGGACGGGGACGAGGACGAGGACGAGGACGGGGACGGGACGGGGACGGGGACGGGGACGGGGACGGGGACGGGGACGGGGACGGGGACGGGGACGGGGACGGGGACGGGACGGGGACGGGACGGGGACGGGGACGGGGACGGGGACGGGGACGGGGACGGGACGGGGACGGGGACGGGGACGGGGACGGGACGGGGACGGGGACGGGGACGGGGACGGGGACGGGGACGGGGACGGGACGGGGACGGGGACGGGGACGGGGACGGGGACGGGGACGGGGACGGGGACGGGGACGCCAAGACTATAGCAATAGCTCTCTTGCACTAAAGTGCAGGCGAGCTAAAAACCGGCATAACCTCCTAAATTTCTCAAATAGGTAGATCATATCGAATGCTGTATAAAATTATGTAGTTAAATTGCATGCATATATTATTTTGCTTTATTATATGACTTTATAGTAAAACAAACTGAATAAAAAACCACAGCCTTTTACTAGTATGAGCATACTAGAACTAATCGAAAACGCATATTATTTGAATAATTATTTTGTTTTTCTCGATCCTTTGCGTTCAATTTATGTTGCATGTGTTCGCGGATATATACAATCTAGAATAGATAAACTAGAATCTATAACCTATATTAAGTTACCTAAGAATTCCATAGTATTATGCCATCATGACTTTCTCAGCTGTGTTCAATAAAAAAATTAGGCCAACAGTCAATATCTGTATAAAAAGTGTGTACATTTGAAAACGGCTCCAATGAATATATACTTCGCATGCAAGTATCCCATGCACACGCAAAAATTCAGGTTCTAAAAGACAGCATTTTCGCACAGTTGTGATCATTAGGGACTGTCCTAAGACTTTCGAACATGCAGTACTGCATAGTACAGATATTACCTATTACGAAGTCAACCAGACGCAGAAAACTGCATGGCAGCTCCTCATAGCATTATCCCCAGTCCTTTTTGAGTTGTATTTCTCTTGCGTTGATCCTGATTTTATTCGCAGTTCCTATCGGCTTCACACAATCATGGCACACATGGCAACTTAACAGCGTTATCGTTTTAATTTCATAAAGTTTACTGCTAGAATTCTGTGCATGCATCACGACACATTAGGCATAAGCAACCACATTTACCGTTTTACGTATATCACAACTTTTCAAACATTTTATACATTTTTGGTAAAATACAAGAAAAAATAATATTAAGCTGTCACGAAAAACCTTTGCATCGTACTTTTTTAATATATGAGGTGCATGTACGTTATATACAATTAAGTTAACATATGATTAGCGTGATAAAATTATTCAACGTTTGGTGATTGGTCGGGAGGAGTACATGCAGTTATTTCATTATGTTTAGCCTAATTAATTATCTTGCCAAACTTATAAACAAAATGGCGGGAAGATATTTGCATGCAAAATAAACTGGATCCGAGGGACAGAAAAAGACCAGAAAGGAATGAGAATGCTGCCAACTGCAATATAACGGATAAAATCTGAGAGGAAATTTGACAACAATCTATCATGCATGGATTGAAAATTATCTTCCATTAAAAACACCTCAACGAAGCGCTTCGAAAGTTAACGATTTATCATGCAAAAAATAAACAAATAATTATTCGATGCCGCTCGCACAAGTAGAAATTGATATTAATCGCTCCATTTCACCGGGCGAGACCCCTGCCAAAATATGTAAGATGTTATAAACTCTAGTATTCATGCATGAATGTATTCAACCATTTGGTTAAATTACCGTGAAACTCAACACCTGTTTGCAATTCTACATGACCAGCTAAAAAATAATCTTAACTGAAATGTTAGTAGATTCAAAAAAGAAGAATTGAAAACTGAAGAAAGCTTGTGGCAAACTGAACTCGAATCCAAACAGTTTTTCTTCGTACTGATAATGTCTCTTCATACGCCTATTGAAGCGTCTTGTGTAATTCCAATGTTACGTCGCGATAGGTCAATCACTCATCTTCAAAGTGTCATTTTGTCGCACAGGAACCCGTTATTGTTCTCACTTAACCTTTTGTCTGTGGCGGTTATCATCGTCTTTGAGAGCATAGAATGTTTTTTTCATGCAAATTCCTCTTTTTTTTCGTTATTATTGGTCAACTGTTTAACCGTTATCCCGTTTCTAATGGCCGGCCGGCTACCGAAGCGGCCAATATCATGGTCCCAGCAGCAAACCCGTTTCCAATTCACAAGCCATTGACAAAATTTGCAATTGGAACTTTGACGAGCATGTTGTTGGAGAAAATCCTATACCTTGATAAAGGTGATAACGCACAGTGTGCTTTATCAATCCACAACAAATTGACCAGGTTTCGTCTCATTAATCCTTATTTATTCATCATGCACGGCGTTAATCCTTTACCGCTACCACTGAAGATTAACACCAATAAATCCGAAGAAACTGTCATGGAAGCAGCTTCGAGAACCGGAGCCACATCAGGGCTGATTTTCTATGAAATAGACTACGTTGGCCAATATATGATGATTTTCTGGAAGATTCAGGGAGCACAAGTGGCGAAAGTGTACACGCCAAACAGGTTTCATGTGGAGATCACATCGACCGTAAAATTTGACGATCAACTATGGCTAGAGGCAACATATGCCAGAATCAAAGAAATGTCAGACAAAATGCAAGGTCCTAACGAGCATTTTGAATCGGGCATCGAGGTACCAAGTATTCCCAGTAGAACAGCAACGCCAAAGTTTAAGATTACTCTCCAAGCACAAATGACCATGGGGAAAAAGGCGGAATTCATGATCGAGCTCAAAGATGATCTGCCTCCGCATACTAGTAATGTTTACAAACGAGATGTAATCGGCGCGATTGCTTTGGGCATAATTTCTGTTGGGTTAAATCTGGCAATGAAGAAAGTTCAAAGCGTTATTCCATCCGAGCAATCATGTACAATCGCCTTAGAAAACCTTTCAAGAGAGGAAACCCTAATAAAACCAGCCTGGTACATTAGGGCCGGAGAAACGGCAAACATTGTTCCTTGGGAGATAAAAAGTGACGAAGTCGGCGAGATTTCCTTCGTGATTCCGCTTGGAGGGGCAAGGCTCACACAAAAATTTCAGCACACCGTTTATTTCTTATCGTATCATATAAATGGCACAGATTACAGTATTGTGATTGGAACGTGGTTCCCATTGAAACTGCAACCCGAAGACAATTGGGAAGACATTTTGCAGAAAAAAAATCCACGATATACTGTTTTTCTCATGAAAACCCCTACTGCGAACATGGCAATGAAGAACGTGTTAAAAGTTGTTGGCGACCTGTTTGTTCAATACAAAGATGCCAAGGAATTAAGTAAGCAGTTGATGAAGACGAACCAGAACATTCACAAGCTGATTGCGCAGTCTAATCTTCAAAATCCCAAAATACCTACAGTGCAAACAAATAAATTACAGAAGTATTTAGAATGGCATTATCCGCTAATCAAAACGTCAACAGTAGCAGGAAAGCAAACAAATGAAGAATACCACATAAGAATTGTCTCAGCGATGGGCATCGGCAAAGCAACCGGCATGGTGATTAAAGTAGAAGTAGCTAAAGGCAAGTCTCCGGCTAGTTTTGCTCTGGTTAACCCGCAAAGCTACAAGGAGCCGCCAGAAACAACAACACAAGACGTCGAAACCCAGTTTCCCAGCCCAGCGACGAATGTAGGGCCGCCAAAATTCCCATCGACAAATGCAGGACTAGCTAAATTTCCGACCGACAAATCAAATGCTGATCTTCTGACGTTCCCGCTGCATAAGAAATATGTAGGACACTCTCTATCAACGGCTCAAAAAGGCCTTCTTCTGGAGAAGGCGTTTGCGACTCCAGGTCTCAACAGTCAGAAGGTATATGCTGCATGGACTCCAATCGTTCTCGACTAAAACGAAGAACATAGAAGATGCCAAATTTCGAAGTCGAGCGGGCAACGAAGGACTCCCCTTATCTAAAATTAAAGAAAAAAGTTCGAGCTTTTCCGAGTTCGCAACTCGAAAGAAAGATTCCATAGATTCTACCCGGCATATCAGAAACGATCAGACAGTCCCGGACAACCAGCGCTATCGTACTTAATTTAGTGAAAAACGTAGTGGCTCTAGCCAAGCCGAATCAAGCGACTGGAGACAAAAAGTAACTTTTTAAAGAGGCTGATATAATTACGATAAAGCACAGACGATTGCGATCCATATAATGCTTCTTTAAGTAATCTTTTTGCCGCAGAACAACGCATGCGCACCTAATTTATTGTGGTATAAGGATCATTCCTGGAACGCTAAACTGTGAAGCAGGCATATTTTTTCCTACTTTAATAAGTTGGAATGAATCATCGTAGTTGAGTGTTGAAAATATGTTTTTTAGAAGTTTAAGCTATATTAAGCTATACCAAGCTATAAAACTCTAGTTCCCGATTCGTTACAAGTTGCCACATTTCGTTACGAATTCCGCGGGACAAGTCGTATAGTGCTAAAATATCGGACATGCATATAGTTTAAACTGCCCGTGATTGCAATGTGTTTCACGAATTTCGTGACGACTCTCAAATATAGGCAGGTGTGTCGTTCTAGTGTAACCCAGGAGCAGCGTCTTCAAACAACTTCGTATCAATTGTGGTATAACAGCGGCATAAAACCGCCCCAACGTTTTGTTAACTCTCCTGACGGGTGTCCTTCGGTCGAAACGTCAAGAAATAAGTTTCTTATGTCATGACCATCACAAATAGTTTTTACTTTTTCCCCTCTAAATGCCTTATACCCTACGAAACATTTTGTGGTTTCTTCAACATTTTAACGAAAGCGAAAATTTTGCCGTTTGCTTATACTTTGCATTTCTGGCCTCGCTGACGTTTAATTAAGCTGTGACGTTTAAGATCCGGAACAATTTTGGCGAATGCGCAAGATAGTACATCTTCAGATCTTCTGAATTTAAGTACCTGTCAAAGCTTTATAATTTTATTCCTAGTTCAGGAAAAACGCAGTGAGTCACTGCACACTGGCATTTTGTTATTTCGACTTTTACGACTCTTGAAACATTTCTTATACGTTGTCATGAGCCGTAAAATTTCACGGATTTTACGAGTCGTACGAATTTCTTCAGTTTCAGCACTTGCCTAGTGCTTAGTGTAAAATATTCCTTAATTACATGTTGTCACAAGTCGTGAAATTTCACAGATTTTACGGATCGTATGAATTTCGTGAGTTTCACCACTTGCCTATGGCAATGTGCTAAATTACTAACTATACTAAATCATTTGAAATTTGTGAAATATATCTCGTCAGGATTCGTGAAATTTCACGGATGTGACGAGTCGCTTACGAATTTCGTGATTTTTATAAATTTGCCTAGTTTTTTTAGTTTCTCTATAAGGGCTGCTGTCCACTGAAGGTCGACACTGACCGGACGCGATGTGGCAACGCGACGGTAATTTTCAATTTTCCGAAGCACGTAAATTAATTTCTTGAAGCAAAATTTGGAATCTATGGCTACCAGAGCAGTCAAAATGTATTATCGTTAAGAAATCTACAAGAATATAATGATAGCTTAAAATTTATTTGGTTCTGAAAAATGAAAAACTTTGAAAAATCGCGCCGCGTTGGCAAATCGCATCCGGTCTGTGTGGGCCTTTACGCGTTTTTTTACACGCGGAAAAATCTAAATCCCTCAAAATTTTATTTTTTAAAAACACAAGGGTTAACGAATGCATACTATATAGATATACGGAAAACTAAGTTCTTTCGATTTAATCACTTAGCGTTTTCAAATATGACTTATAGGATTTAAAAGTTTACATGCCTGTATCTGCGTATGAAAACCGTATAATTAAGTGGAAGCAGCCCTAAGTTGTTATTCCTTACAAGTTGTCAGCGGTTGTGAAATTTCACAGATTTAACTAATCGTACGAATTTGCTTGAAACCTTACCACTTGTCTAATGTCAATTGCTATATTTACTTAAGTCATTTGCAAGTCGTGAAATATTTCTTACAAGTTAACAGAAGCCGCGAAAATTTTCGTACGTATTTTGTGAGTTTCCTCCCACAGCTGCATTTATTATATATGTGACAGATATAACGAGTCAAATCTTACCAAGTTGTTTACTTTTTGAATGGGCTAGAAACCATATTATCATGCATTCAAGTCATTTATACACACAACTAAAAAAACAAGTGTGTAGAATTACACACCAAGGTGCATGTGTTTGACTTCTACGCGCTTTTAGAAAACACACTTTGGTGTGCATGGAAACACACTTTCATGTGTACGAAAAAGACACCTCCTTTTACACACCTTACCTTTTGCTCATTAAGGTGTAAAGTAACACACCTTTTCACAGAAAACACACCTTGGTGGGTTTGACAGCACACCTTCACCCATCCAAAAAACACGTCATTTAGTGTATTATACAAAACACCCTTAAATTATTAACTGCATGTACAATATGTTTGATTGACCATAAGACCAATAAATAATTGTTACTAATTGTATTTTAGTGCGTCGAGCAACGCGTCAGCCTTACGACAAATTACACAAGTCACAGGAAATTTCACGCTTTTCCATCGCATTTAAATTTAACTTTTGGCTTTAAATTCCTCTATGATCTTTGGCCTGCGTTTCAGCTTTGATCAGTATTAAAAATTCCAAACATTACATAAGACATAAATTTAAGGGAATTTTAATTAAAACTATTTGAGAGCATTTTTACACAGTATAGTACATTGTCGTACATTACGAAAAATATAGCCACTGTAATTATCTAAACTAAACAATCACAGCTGCCATGCATTCAAAAACTTGACAAAAACAGAATGGCTGTCGCTTGTGTACTAATTTGCATTTATTACACCCATTTCCACGCATGCACAAAAGGATTCTCCTGACAATTAATGACCATATTATACACTTAATGTATGCTCCCGAGAGAAATAGTAAGTTTTGTTTTCGACTTCGTCTCTGGAAACATTCAGACTCTTGGGAAAACAAAACTCACTATTTCCCGAGGTAGCGAACATTAAGTGCTTTGTTATATAGGAACAAAAACATACATGTTACACGACAATTTCATTTCAAAAAACTTTGTTATGACAATATGCGGGCAACAATTTTTCACTTGTTTCCCTGGCGGGAAAGATTGCATTTATTTAAAGTCATGTGACTACGAATGAGCCAATCACATTTAAAATACACAGCACCTATATAACAAATAATAATTATATACACGTCCGATGTTTGAGAGTTAAATTGTTAACGATTTATCGACAGTTTGTCTTTTGTTTTGTGTTTTTTGAAAGATTTTTAAAACATCAGCTTCGTCCAGTACATTTTATGCAGGATAACTGGAGAAAAATATATTACTGAGATTGGTGATGTATTAAGAAATAAATTATTTAGCCTAATTCAGTTTTATATTTATGTCAGTGCAAAATCGATCCACTTGGTGTACGAGTGCTCATGCGTATGTCTTGCTTGCTTGATGTTAAAAGATTCGACCTAGTATTCTGTCGAAGGCAGCAAAATAATTTAACAATTCTACTGGCATAACTACCCTGCTTGTTTGTTGTCCGATAATACAAGAATGGATTAATCGCAGAATTAAGAAGGGCCAACATTTGACCAGCGTGCAAGACTTGGTTCCAAATTTCGCTTCTTTGTCTTATCGATGTGAAATGGTGGATTGTACGCAGCGTGATGTGAGGGGCAAAACAGCAAACGAAAACGACCCATATCCATGTAAGAAACTTGCCAACTCTTTTTTCGTGTGTCATAACTCTTCTCCAGTGTGCATTTTTCTGTTGCATCGAAGCGCCGTAAATCGTTGAATGTTGCTTTAAGCCTTTCGTTATTTTTCTTTGAGACGCTATCATGACGGAGACCGGCAGAAAGAACAGAATTACGGCTTGTAGGAGATAATATATTTGCCGAGTCGTCTTATCAAAGTTCGTGTTACTACAGTGCAACCTGCCGTTTCTCTTTGCCACCGTGTAAGCATACGACAGAGGAGAAGTCAGCACAATCGTCGCTGCCCATGTAAGAACAATATCTCGCTTCAATGTTCTCCTTGCATTCAGTATCTTAAAAGGATCGTTCGCGATCTTCCTGCGGCTGTAGCTAATAGTCATAAGTGTGAACGTCGAAGCAGTGTAGCATGCTTCCATCATGTGCCCGTGAATTTTGCACATTCCTTCGCCCAATGCCCACTCATTCTTCAAGTACTCTGCAGCATTGAACAACGACAAGGTCGTCATGAGAAAATCGGCGATGGCGAGGTTTAAAATGTAGCAATCAACTGCCGTTCGCTCGCCGCGCTTGAGGTAGGCAAGCGAGTAAATGACAAAAGCATTGCCTATTTCAGACACTAAGAAAGCCGGAATAAAAGCCGAAACAAAGAGAGGAATCCGGGCTTGTGCTGCTGGATCATCGATATTGTTTTCGTTGCTTGTATTATTGGTTGTTGAGGTTACATTCATTACAGGTTCCAGCATTCTCAACTCTCTACGAGGTGATATATATATATTATACACGCTCTAAAAATGCAAAACAGACATGTTTACGTACTATACCACAAACCTGCCTAGTTTGTGTCCTTTTTCATTTCACATGCCGAGTTTTATTGTAGTGTTGTGACAAACACGCGTAAGTATAGATACTATCAGCTTTTTCCCTGCGTGTGTCGTTAGCTCTCGTGTTCGCCAAGTAGTAAAGTTCGGTCGCTGGTGACCCTGCAAAGGCCCACGCAGACCGGACGCGATTCGACAACGGGATGAGGATTTTCAGTTTTCAGCAGTAAATAAATTTCATTCTGGAAGATAATTTCGTAAGCTATGGAAATCAGACGAGTCAAAAAGTACTGTCGTTGACTAATTACCAAGAAACATGTCCGGATCAAACTTAGTCGCTTTGGAAAAACTTAAAAATTCGTAAAATCTTGCTGCGTTGGCGGATCGCGTCCGGTCTGTGTAACCTTAAATTAAGGGTAAGCTACGTATGTAATGTCGACTTCAAAATATTAAATTCATCCTATACCGTTTACCCTGAGTTACATGATTATACAGGTTGTCTTAGAAAGAAAGGAAATCGCTACTTTAATATGACGTAATGCATTAAATATTGCGTCCGAGAATTTAATTTTTAGAAAGCAAGAAAGACGCGTTTTTTAGCTTTCTAACATTGCCAGTTGAAAAACCCTCATTCTTTCACGACCATTTCGATCACTAATCTTCATTTAAAATAATATTCGAGCATTTCTTGTTGTTATGAACTTGGGACGCTAAATAATTGCTCTTTCATACTGCAAACACTGAATCATTAAATGCAATATATCTTGCGTAAGTGTCTTTAATTTCCATTTCGTTTTTATTGTGACACCCTGCATGGGTGATGTATACAGTATGTTGAATTAATGTACGAAAGTGTACAGTTTACCGTTGTTTACTCCTCAAAACTTCATCGCGACTATGATGTATAATCATAACTATATATACATCCGAATGTTGTTTTCTCATGCAGGTGCCAGCTTTTATATAGTTAGGACTTAGGTTAACTTGCCTTGGAAGGAAAAAGCTTGCGTCCTTTTATCCGTACATATATATATCCAGTAAGCGCTTAGTAACTGGTTGCACCCACGTATGTAGTGTACAAGACGAACTAGTCCAACTTTGCTATGGTTTTACATCACTTTGTTTATTTATAATATATTCTCAACTGATATTAATTGTGTGTGGAAGATAAAGATTTTTTTACGCAGGAAGCAGTTAGACCATTCATGTCAAGGATAATCCACATGACACTCAGGAAGCAAAATAAATAGTTATGATATTAAACTCGTATATCTTTACCTATTGTTTCTATTTTTGTTTTTTTCATTAAGTATATATATAAGGTTGAATAAGGTGGTTTACTTTTATCTTACTATCTTCGCTTCGATGTTGAAATTCGTACAAGCGCACCCAAATGTATGCATACCTTGTTGACTTCCCGTTCTTCGTGGGCGTATCAATCATGCCAAATTGCATGCAATAAGAAACATCTTTTTTCGGCGCTATGCTGTTCCATAATTACAATTTTTTGTCATTTAGTAGACAGTCTTCATTGTACACAAACAACATAATGAAAGAAAAGCGAAAATGCTGAGGGGGGGGGGGAATACACTTTCGGTATTTTAATATGCTGCTAAAATGGCAATAAAATATTGTGGACATTGGATAATTACCTGATGTTTTGTGATTTTATTAGCATAATAGCATGGAATATGAGACTGGTTCCCGTTATGTTATAATTGTCATGACAAGTCATTTTAGTATGCTGATGATAATTCAGATTCGATTTAAATTTGCCTTTTTTTACTGTCATTCAAATCGGTCATTGTTGACTACACTGCACTCGTACAATTATTCAAATATACATCAGGAACCTCGACGTGTTCACGCGATTGCAGAAAAACGGAACAGGGCGCATTTGATTAGCCATACCAATTACTGCATGTTTGTTGTTCGAAAGGAATTTTACTCATATGCCCAGAGTTTAACACGATTTGTCAACGTTTGATTTTAGATAACTTTGGATGATTTATAATAATTATTTCATGCACTTAATTATAGTTAATATGCACTTGCAAACATGATTCTTCTACACAAAGACAAAATGCAATATATTACCTTGCTATATGAACATATTACCAAGGCAAGCCACGACTTACGTATTTTCCCATGCAGAGCCAATTGGTAATCAGTACTGTAAAGACGTTCCTGCGACTACATTGACGTCAGGACGTTATACAACACAAAAACAAATTTAGGAAGTTTTTCGAGATCGTGCGTGCAGTTATAATTGCTATAATTGACGTCATTGTAATAGTTCAGCTTTCATTGATACTTATAAACCAGTATAAACTTCAAATGTGAGAGTTAGTAGCTCTACAACCAAGTCTCCTGACGAAGGCCCTAAGGTCGAAACGTCGAGAAGTGTTTTTGTCTATTTTAGTCAGTTGTTATACCACATTTGATGCTAAGTTGTTTGAAGACGCTGCCACGCTGCTCCCTGGTTATATTGGAATATAAATTTCGTTTACACGGTATCGGTTTCGTGCGTCACGACATCTTCGTTTGCCGTTATGAAGCAACGGTTGGAACCAATGTTGATTAACTGAATAGAATACTGCATTTAACAATCTTCACTGTTTCTTTTACTACAGAATCTGACGTGTTTCTATAGGAATCCAGTATGGTGTAAACGGGGCCATATATATAGCTATAAATATAAGTACAAAAGCTAATATTTCAGGTAATTATACCATCTCGTTTTTCAGATGAGTATAGGTAATTCAGTATCAAATAGAAACTCCTACTAACTGATTTCCTAACATGCAGTAACGTTGATGTATATTATCTAATGGATGTAATATCTTAGCAGACATGCTCAATTTTGTTGGCCAGAGGCAGACTATAGTTTCAACTTAACACTATAGTTAGTGATAGAATTGACCAATCATGCACAGTCGTGTGTTTCTGAGTTATCTACGAAATAACTATTTATCCAACACACTTTAGTTATTCGTAGGCATCATTGAGATCGTCAAGGCGATTGTAAGTTTGTTCTAAATTTCGCAGAGGGGGTATTATGAATGCACTTGACTTGAGTATAATATGTTCCATGATAGAAGAGGCGAAAGACTCTCACATTATACAGTTTAGGTTGTAGCAACGGACAACCGGCAGTCGGAAATATCAGAGTACAAAGTTTTTTATCTCCTGACTATATGCGTGAAGACTGATGCTTCGATTTAAAAAAGTTCGAAATCGATGCAGTAAGCAAATATTGTTGTATATCAAATCTTCATTTTAAATTATTTTGACGTTTGCACTGACGTAATTGCATGTTTTCAGTAGATCAATGGATATCGTTTCTCATGTTTAGATTAACTATGGCCTACTGGAGCGAGGCAATCAAAACTATACCTGGAAAGAATAACACTCCCCAATCTTAGCTCGTTCGCCACTATAACGAGTTCGTTGGATTTTCATAACAGTAATGGCGAAGGTATATGTCTCTGATAGATAGAACTGGCAACATACCTCGTCCCCAGGGCGCAACCTTCTTTGTGATACACGCGGATGGTTGTGCATTGGCCTCATTTATTGGCGGGCATTTTTGAGTGTTTCTACATTTTATAGTTATTGCTGTTAATTATCGTTTCACCTTAAACGTGACATGTTAAATTAGAATTCACTTCATTAAAAATACAAAACAATTGCACCGTAACCATTAGCTTTCCCCCATATATCTATATAGCTTACGATAACGCTGTGCTTTATACTGTCTTAATACCTGCAACAACAAAAAATTATTTTATTCTTTGCTGACAGATGTTTTGTTGGCTTTCCAGGTAGTAATCGAAGGTTCGTGTCCTATAAGGAAATATAAATACAAATTACTTCACAAATTACAATCGCAATACAATTTTTTCTCATTGCTTTTAATATCATTTAGAAAAACGATTAGAAAAATAGCTTCTAATAACACCCTATAGCTTAGCTCAACAATAGCCCGTTACACTACATTCGATTTATTGGCACGGCACAGCTAAAATTGGTACCCGTGCCCATTTCATCTGTGCTCGGCCTTGGTTTTGGTAGTCTGAACATTGATAAAATTGAGTATTTTAGCCGTGCCGTGCAGATAAATTGAGTGTATACGTAGTGTAAACGGTGTTAATTTCAGGCGATCTAGTGGTGCCCGTCCTATCTGTAAGCTTGGAGGTTCTACTCCCCAAAAGAAATGTTCTTCTCTTTGAAATTATTATCCTTCCAAAAAAAGATTTACCACAAGATTTGGTGGTCCAATGGTGAAGGCGTTCATCTGCCAAGTCGACGGTTGATGGTTCAGGTCCTGGATAAACCGAAGAAAAAACTAAGGCGAAAATTTGTGAGTGTGAGAGGAGTAGACTGAGGGAGCTGTTTCCCCCCCGCCTTTTCGGCCATTAAAAGTAAGATTTCTTCAAAAAATTAGAGGCGTTAGGTGATAATTAGGGATATCATAAGATAGAGCAAGGCAGGGATAAATAGGAGCAAATAAGAGCATGTGAGTACAAATAATTATAGTAATATTTTTAGAGTAAAAATAGAGAATGATATTTTTGAAGAGTAAAATTTTTGCTTTTCCACCTGATCCCCGCCCGCGGGGCGGCAACTCTCCCCGCCCCATTACTAAGTCTCTTTCTACTCGTGTACCCCACATCACCCCTACATGCATATCCGTACCTATCATTTAACTCCCCTAAATTTTCCTAAATATACCCACCATATATTTTTCTTAACCGTGATAAGAAACGGTGTCTTCTAGTTTTTGATCACCCGAACATACAATTAATAGCCAGTAATTTTACCACAACGCTAACTGGTGATTTTTTTAAACGGCTTTGCTATTCGTTTTACTTTATCCATTTCTCGAAGATGATCATAACTGATGAAAATGTTACGAGATCTGTTAAAGACAAAGCTAATTTATTCACCCCAATGTATTCTCGTTTGTCAAACACCCGAACATCTCTTATCTCTTTCAAAACTCAAGTTATTACCACTATTCGGAAAAGTGGCATACTAAACCGCCTAAAATATACAAAAAAACACTTCTCGACGTTTCGACCTAAAAGCCTTATGTATGAAAGTAAACGAGGGGGAGCACATGCATGTTTAAACATGTAACAATAAACAATGTATGCCATATTTTTTCATATTTAACTAACAGAAACATCCACTGACCATGACATAGAATTTGAATGACTTTGGATTGTAACATTACCTGTCAAGATATTGTGACATTACCTGTCTCTCATAAATCTCCTGTTGGAATTTGTGGTCTCGCCTGGCGACTACCATTTAAAATAATCTCTATGCAGTATATTATTTTCATTCATCCAACTGACAACGCTACTTTATTCAATTGAAAAGAGTAAAAAACACTGCCAATTTGGGGAACTTTAAATGCCCACCTACAGATTGCATTGAAAAGGCAACAACTTACATAAAATTGCAAATAAAGTAAATATCAAAAATCAAAACGTTCTTCACAAAAAATTATTACTGCTGCCTTTTTATTCATGATGCATCTAATCGTCTAATGATTATTCTTTATCAGAGTGGATAGGCTAAAACAGGTTTAAATTATTGATTATATACGTTAAAATTTTCAAATTATTGTTTATAATATTCTCAAATCAAAGGAATATTTAGTGATGGTTACATGTTATAGTGATTAGGTATCGAAGATTTTACTAAGTCTATATTGTTGCTAATTTACCTCATATATTTCATAAAAAAAGGATTAGCTTTCAAACGGCCAAAAGTCGTCCTACTTTGCATCACACTAAACTCCGGATTCAGAGGAATCAGTGTTTGCCTTGTCAACAGGGCTCGAGTGGAAATCTTCATCCACATCCTTCAATATTACGTTCTCATCTGTTTTGGACGATTCGTCATATATTACATTTGCAAAAGAACAAACGGTGGCGGGATAGTCTTGAACGACACATGTTTCTGCTGTCAACTGATAAAGAAAAAGATATTGTCTGTTGTATAATTATGTGATATGGCATCTGTTATATATACGAACAATAAGAAACTGGTAATTAACGCTATTGTTGATGCAACCCTATATATACTTAGCTACTGTACATACAACTACACAGAGGTAGCCCAAAGTGCGGTAGTTTCATAGTGCGGTCTTTGAGAAAGGGAACGTCAAATACAACGTGAAAATAGCAAATTAATGACGTTTGCGACGTCCAAAGATGAGCGCATTATAGATTGCCTATTGTATTATTAATTATTTTGACAAGTGTTGTACAATGTTTCATACATATATTGCGGTCGGTGACATGTCACATAATTATTATGGTCGGTTACAATAATATCAAATTATGACATTCTGAAACTGGACACAAACACTTCAGTTAGGGTTACCACGGCATGCATAGTGCTGTAAACACAGACTTTTTGTGATAGATCAATGAGTGGAAAGCTTGTGATATGATATCAATCAAAAAAGGAAATTATAATGCGAAACGGACACCAAAAAACAAGAAACATCAATATTAATGTTGGTTCTTAGAATCCATGTTCTTTTCTAACTCGCGTTAAGATAGCTTATTGCATTCTTAGTTGGAAAAGATCACCTTAAACAACTTTCTAGACGCACGAGTAGCAATTTACAACAATTTTTTTGCATGTGATAGAAATAGCAAATAAATCTTTTTTTGCGATTTAAAATGGTGGAGTTATTAGAAACATCTGCTTTCGACAATGAAATTTAAATTATATAATATTTTGGAGCAAAAAAAATCGGTTAATTAATATAGCTATAGTAAATTAATCACTATAATTATTAAACTTGCATTACCGCCTATTTCCATTGAGTAGACATGCATTTTATACATTTTTGGCGTAGATTTTTCCTGTCACAGCACATGTAGAAATTTGTAGAAAATTTTTCAATCACATTTTGTCTAATTCGTGTGATTACAGCTTGTGCTATTTAGTCGCCCCATAGCTAGCGCTATAAGTGCAAAAACAAAACCACACCAACTTCAGCTGTTAGTTTAACACTGCAAATAGGCGTCTATTTAGCACCAAAGATCGTGCTAATTTGACAGCTTATTTCGCAGTGTCAATTTAGCACCCGAAATGGTATTATTCTGTACCTTTTTATTTGACACCTTTTTTCGTGCTAATTTTGAGTAAAGGTCAATGTCGCCAATGTCAGTTCGTTTGGTAGCCACATATTTCAGATGTTGTGACCATGCATGGAATAGCCAATAAAACTTAACCATTTCAGACCATGTGACTTGAAATAGTTAATTTGCATACAAGCTGAAAAGGTCTATTGTCTTTACAGTCTGTTAACATGAATATACGAAAATTGCCCCCCCCCCAATTATCGATGCTGGCTACGCCACTGATGAAAATAATAAAAACAAACGAACCTTTTCTCTCTTTTTCGTGCTTTTGTTCGGTATAAACACACGTTTCCACCGACGACGTACCAAAACGATACCTAGATTCGAGAAAAAGCGGAAGTTTTGAAGCTTGCACATGGTAAAAATTCGTCTGTGTTAATAATCTTGTGTATACGTTGAGCCTCGAAATGGCTATTTCACAGTTGTCAGATGTGTATTGAAGATTGAAGAATGCGTTTCATGCAGAGGAAAAATAGAACCTTTAAAACTTATTCAATAGTATTCTCTTTGATATAGCGATACAGAAATGCACAATTGGGCACCAGTGATTATATTTTCGGTTTGAAACTTCATAAACACCAATTTCTGTGGTGTGGTTATTTGACATTAATTATAGTGATCATATGTACAAGAACGGATGGTAAATTTGAAATAACCTGTAACAAAAAGAAGTAGGAAAAATCCGCCAAGTGACAAACCAATAATCAGTTGTGTTTTTGATTCAGTTCCATGATCGTCACCAGCGAGATTATCAAAAACTGCTTTTGTTGTGGATTCTTCTTTTGTGGTGGCGTCTTTTGCTTTGGCCGTTGGTAATTCAATTTCTCCTACCAAAGAGAACATGCAGTACAATAGGAATTCGACAATGGAACTGGTATTATATGCATTTGCATTTTTCACAAACTTTCCAGTTTGGTCTTTCATGTTTCTATACTTCGCTATTACCTAAACCCATTTATTATATGTGTATAGAGATTTATGCACAGCAGAATGATGAAATAAAAATCGTATTTCACTGTGTAAATTAATTTCATGCATTTTGATTGGACGTACGATATTTTTCACGTGTGAAAAAATGCCATACACGGCTTTTGATTGGACGTACGATATTCTTCACACGTGAAAAATTGTCGTATGTCATTTTGGCGGCAATTTGTTTACATTTTCTTTCAAGATGGCGTCGAAATATAGGAGTGAAATTCAAAACATAATTCTCATATTCAAGATATTTTTACATTTAGCACATTCTCAAATCTTTCGGAAAGAATATCTATTAACTTCTATTGAACAAAATTACAAAGAAACTGAACGGTATTAAGCATGTTTTGATGGATAAAGTTTCGATTTTGTTGCTCGCTGTGTTTTTGTATATTAAAAGCGTGTCGTTGTCAAATTGATCTCTATACATATTTAATAAACAAATTACTTCATGGTTGGCTCGTTTGTACAATTTTTATTATGCACTCGTTGCGAAGGATCGCAAACTCACTCGTTCGCTACGCTCACTCGTTCGTATTGCGATCCTTCACAACTTGTGCATAAAAATCGTACGTACTCGCCAACCATGAAGTAATCTCTATATATCCCCCTATACCGTATAAACTTTTATTCCTATAAAAAAGGATCTAAAAGTTGTACGTATTTCGCGCAGACGTTATCTGCTTACCTATCAAACATTGTCTTGGGTCTAAAGCTCCTTCCCTTTTCGTTACATGATTTTCAGGACATGGTATACATCGTAGTTTTCCTTCGTGTGGCTGGTACTCGTCCTTGGGACATGGCATGCAGTAACCAATTCCTTTTTCGACTACACCATAGTGACCCGCCTTGCAAATTACTAAGGGTCAACAAAAAGTGATAAAAAATAATCAAGATTAGTCGAAGGTATAGGATCTTTTGTAAAACAGATTCGGCGGTTAATAGCGACGTATCATCTACATGCTAACATGCAATACCGCGTCCATTATACTATATTATTAGGTATGATAATAAAACCATATCCATAAAACTATGAAGAAATAAGATTTTCATGTCATTCCACAAATATCAATCACTGGAAATAATTTGCTTAATGGACTTAACTGGATTTGTTAAAAGGTTTGTTGGGCTGTCATATTTATTCTAAGAATTCGTTGGCAAATCTCTTGCTACGATATTGATACATAAATACAGTCAGACTAATTGATTTTATATATTCAGAAAATTAGCTAGTTTAAAAATTCGCGTAGTTATATTTTTACAAATAAATTTTCCCAGCAACAAAAGATCTTACCTTTGCACTGGGAATGATCATATGATCCTGCGTTCCAGGTATAGTAAATCCTCTGGGACAACGATCACAAGATATTTTGCCTGATTCCGATTGATAGGAGCCCAATGGACAAGGTATGCATGACGCTATTTCTTCAGTTTTGAGTACAGCATGATATCCGGGTGGACAATCCACTTTTTAAAATATATGTCGTGAAAAATATGGTATAATCGTATGTTGAGAAAGCGGTAAATACACCTATATTATTATTAATATTGTTTGCGAATAAACTAACAGGAGGTGGTACCTCTCATAGGTTTTTGAGATTCCCTACTCAGATTATTTTTGGTTATATCCTGCTATTACTGCATGAAAAGGAATTGTTGAAAGCTAAATGGTTAATTCTCTTCCTGTGCAAAAATTAAATGCCTAGACTTATTACGTCATGATACTTCAGTGCTCCATGGTAAAATTATTATCTCATATTTGCATCTTACCGCATTTAAAATCTCTTTGAACCAGGACCTGAGAAATCGGACATATCAATGAAAATTTGTAAACAGCAATGCTGTTTTTCTCTGCATAATACATGTTGTTAGCTATCCAGAAATACAGTGAACCATTGTTAGTCGCTGTGACTAACCCTCTCATTCTTTCGTTTAGTGACTGAGAAGCATTGACAACTCTTTCGGCGTTGGCTTTAAAATCGTTGTAAACGGTAGTGTTGGTGGTCATATTTTTACCAACGTATTGAAATTTCCACGAGCATATCCCGACAACCTCGGCATCATTTTTAGACCTTCCCAACTGACAGTCGATCGGTCGTAAGTTTTTTACGTGAATTCCATCGCCAAAGAATTCGAAAGAAGACATTTTGCTAAGGATTAAATTTTTAATCCCTTCATAACCCGATGATTCGACACTTGAGTTGCCTCGATTCGCTTGTTTGATCAAAGAAAACGACAGGACTGCTGATGGCACGGGAAGAGTAAAAGACAGGGCTTTAACAAAACTTACGCGCGACGAAGTTACACCGTACGCATTAGAAACTCGACAGAAATACCAGCCTTCGTTTTCGCGTTTCATTGGTGAAAATCCCAGATACGAAAAGGTTTCGTTATACAGTATTTCAAATGATAAAGAATTAGCAGGTTTAAACCACCATTCGTGGGAGATAAAATTGTCAGTCTCTTTAACTTTACATAGAAGTTCGTCATCCTCGCCTATTACAACTGCCAGATACCTTTCAGACTGGTCGGTAATGATCGGAGGAGGATGGATAGTAACAATGGCAGGTATTGATCTTTCTATCGCTATGTGGTTGGACACGATGCAAGTATAATTTCCACTGTTTGATGTGGTTGTATTTTTTAACACTAGCACGTTGGATCTTTGATGCGGGATAACCTCCCCGTTGAATGTCCAAGAATATATTAGCGCCGTTCCAGTAGCATTGCAGTTCAACACCAATTTTTTTCCAACTCTTAATTCAGTAACAGGGTCTGGATGTCTTGTAATGTTAGGGGATTGAGCGCAAACGTCCTCCAGCTCAGTCATTTCTTTCAATATATCCAAAATCCTTGACGACACATTCAAGGCTGCGTGAATAGAAATATCGAAGGAATCTGATAAATCGTCAAGTGCAGTCCTAAGACTTGGGATCTGACGTCGAATGCGACCTGCCGTTTCCGTCTCAACCACAGAGAACATTTGGGCCAAGCTATCGAGAATGTGTTGCATACAATCCTTCATTCCACTACATTCGTAATGTAGGCGTGAAGAATTGAACATGCTTTCCATGGCAACAAACCAGTTTTGCACAAGAAGCTTATTTGTGGAATTGAAATCCTCATAGTTTTGTCTCTTTTCTTCTGATTCAAGCTCCAATGCCTCCGACATCTCAGGATCATCCAAAGTAAAGTTGAAAGACGTTATTTGATTCCAAGAAAACTTGGATGATGCTAGCAGATTAGTCAAATTTAAACTTGTCTTCTCGCTTTGGGATAATTCTTTTTCAACAGACCAAATTTCCGAAGACAATTTGTAAAGTGATATGGCCACGTTATGTAACATTGCGTGGTAATTTTTGAAATTTGCGCAATAAGCATGGTATTTCTTAAGAGAATGAAGAAACGGATCTTGTTCAAACGTGCTGGTGTCTACTATTGAACGTCTTCTTCTGGATTTACTGTAAATATTCCCAATTACATCACGCACGATTTCTTCAGATATGCTTTTAAGAGATACGTTGAATTGAGAAAAATCGAGTACGGTTGATATCCGTCGCAGTGTTCCATTCGCTTGAAATGAGATAGCGACCGGCAATAATTTACTGTTGTCTTTGCCAAAAACTTTTGTTTCAAAGCGTATTTCTATCAACTTTATTCCATCAAATGAACCCAACTTTTCGTTGAATAGCGATTTTATTCTTAGAGGTGCGGAGAGCATACCGACAAGGTTATCTTTGGCCTCGATTGTTCTATCGTATGCTTTCTGAAGGTTTTTGGCAGCTTTTTCTGTCGTATTTAACCAACGTTGCTCTCTTGCTAGGACACTATATATTCTCTGCCTTTTTATATTCCAGAAAGAAATGTTTGACTTTGTATACTCCAAATCTTTTAAGATATTTGCCCCCTCCGATTGCGTTTTTGATATTTTCTGTAAAGCATTGACTCTTGCCTTTTTACAAAGGACATTCTCCGCAACACAGGTAACATTAACGACAAAGGATGCACAGGACACGTTTCTGCAACAGCTTTTTTCAATCGTTTTCGACATTCTCTCTATCAAGCACGGTTGCTTGCATATGTACGGGGTATGTGTGTATTTGTACTCGTATCTTCCTCTAACGCATGGTACTTTCTCGTCTTTGCAGTTCCATTTTCCATCTTTTTGTTTTCGGTGGCATTTTATAGAATTTTGATAAGCCCCCCCGGCATAATTTCTTCCAATTTTAACTGCGGTTTCCTTTGAAAAAATTTTATCAAAAGAAGGTAGAGAACTGTCTCCGGCTATGCCTCCACTATAAGCTTTCCGTACTGAAGCACAAATTGCATCTCCGACTCTTCCAGTATCTACCAGTGTTGTGAGACCAACTGCTATAGCGCTAGAAAATGGTGGTGGTACTCCGAATCCGGTAGCCAGAGATTTTATGCCCGTCGAAATGCCCGCTTTAATGAACCCTGAAAGTCTCTTCCCAAATACCGTTTTGAAAAACCCATTGGTGCTGTGAATTCTTTTGCAGTTTTCTTTACCGCAAGATGCAACTTCAGAAAGAGGTGGAACACGGTGCTGTTTTGTATGGGAACAAGTTGCTGGACACGTTCCCATAGAGTTTCCAATAATGTATTCGTAGCAGGTTGTACAGGACACGCCTTTGTGACAAACCTTCGGACACTTTTTCACCTTGCACATGTCATCTAAATCTGAACTTAATTGATCAAGCTCTTTCGAATAATTCCTTGCCTGAATTTTCAGGAATTTTAAACGGATTTGGGCCATTCTTAAGTTTTCCGATATTGACGCGTAGTCGCTGTTTAGTTGCTGTAACGTGTTCAGTGATTTTGTCTTTAATAGCAGTACTTTCTCTAATCTAGTATGTGCCCGTTTCACTGTTTCATCGACTGCTTCTATACGCTTTGAGGCCTGCGATATAATGTTTTTCGCAAATGAAGCAAGTTCTCCCCTTAACGCAGTCGCAAAATCGGTTCCATCTTTGTTTCTTTCAAATCGACCCTCAACATTGAAGATTTGATTTTCCCAAGGCAATAGTCTAGACGAGCAATCCATACTCGCGTCGAATAATCCGTGCAATTTACCACTTGTTTTAAACTTTAATCCTTCGTACGAAATGCTAACATTTAACAACTTCTCCACGCCTAAAATTTTAGAAATTGCACAGAACGATCCTGCAAGGCTTGGAAAATGTCGTGAAAATGTAAATCGAACATTCATGGACCCACCAGGGTAGGGTTTGAATATGCCAAATGTTTCGTTTTTCGATTCAGCGCACGATCCAATGAGGTGAACACTCTCGTCGGTTGACTTGTTAGCACTTTCGGCATTGTTATTATTACGAAGTGGTCTGCCCATAAAAAGATTCAACTGCATTGGCTGAAATTTTAAATCACCAATTCTTAAGTTGCCGCGAAAGACACAACTTAGTCCGTTGGAAACTTCTACATGATGAAAACTATTCTTTTCCTTATACAAGTTGGTGTCAAGAAAACATGAAATTGTCCTATTGGCACTCATATAGAGAAATGTTTCAAAGGATGTGTTAAGAAATGGATCTTTTTCCATAATAGTCCTGAGAAAGAATCCTTTTTTTCCTTGATGTATTTCGTTGCTGTCTACAGAAACAAATATACAAATCAGTAGCGTAGCCAGTTCGATAATTGGGGCGCCCATATTCATATATTCGTGGCACGCAAGATTAATTTCTTTTAAAATGAATTGTCTTTACAGTCTGTAAAAATGGAACACGACAAATGTATACACGTATATTTGTGTAACTATTGGAAATATTTTAGTAATTATCATAGCAGTGCACTGCTGTGTTTTCATAATTATGTTCAGGGTGTTGGCAACGTAGAGTTGAATCGCCATTTTTTTAACCTCGAGATCATCCGCTTTATATGAACACAATTAATACTGTTTGTTGGTTTTAAATTTCTATCGTCCTAAATTAACACAAAACGAGATTTAAGTATCATTAATAACCCATGAAGAACGTTTGATACAGGATAGGTGCGAGATTCGATTAAATTATTTTTAATAGACTATACGGTGGATCTGAATATGCAATTGCAAATAGCTACACATAACTTTTCAATTATAAGCGCACCTTCGAAAGTCCCAATATAGAGAACGCGGCCACGATGGAAAAATGTATTATGTTAAATAAAATTTAAGAATCTAGAACATTGTAGAAGAGTGAATCACAAAAGTACATATAGCTACAGTATGTTAATACCTCCGAAACCAGCATAATTAACTGATTCTTGTCGTTTGAAACGGAGGTTGACCGTCTTTCCTTGCATTTGGAATAAAATCGTGAGAGAGATTTTACCATATAGGTCAACATCCCATTGCTGATATAACGGGGAATCTAAGATCTAAAAGAAAATTGAAAGGCATCGATTAATACATAACAGAAGCTTAAATCCGCGCCAGGAGCAGAGATAAATAAGAAATAAATAGAGAAGCTTAATAAATTTTCTTTTCAAGCTCCCCCCAAGCTTCACCTCATTTTTGCCATTTATTAAATCACTACTTCCGAGCATTCGCGGACAACCTCGAATGCTGCAGAAATTCCGGAACAGTTTAATTAGCAAAACGGTAAATTTAGAGGATATTATTATTAATATCATTATTCCTATAGAAAAAAAATTCCAAACCTTGTTAATATTTTCCACGTGAGTAATGATAGTTCCATCAAATTGCATTCTTAAATCAGCGGCGAAAGTTGTATTCTTGAAATGTTTTTCAAGCGACGTTACCGCTGCAAACGTACCGTCTGACGAAGATTTAACGTTGAAGAATTTGTCACCGTCCCAAAAGCCATTCTTTTTTGGTCTTTCTATTGAATTGTTCTTGGAAATCTGAAGGGAAAAAAATTCAAAACTCCACCCGAACTTATTAATCTGCGTCAAAAAAGAAATGTTTTTTATAACGTCGTTTTCCAAAGAAGAACGCAAGAGAACATTCGATGGCAATTTTCCGTCGAGTTCCACAGCCAAAGCGATCGGATTAGATTTAAAAATATCAGTATTGTTCTCCACGGTGATATTCAAATTGTTTGTGGAAAGCATGGAATAAAAAGATTCGTCGACTACCGGTAGACCTTTCCCAATGCTTGCCGTGCGCATATTTTTTCCATTTAGGAAGTATGTCTTCTTTTCCGAGGAGTACATCGTTTTAACCGAATTTGCCTCACTCAACGTAATTTTTATCCACGATGGCAAGCTATTCTTTATAGCATCAATGAATGATTTAGCCAGAACACGTGATCTTAAAAGTGACCCTATACTATAAAGAACGACGTCATTGTCGACACAGGTGGTCGCATCAGAAATTATGCTTGTGTTTGGTAGATTTAGACCAACTAGGGATAAAGGTAATTTGCTAGAGTTACTGACATAAATACTGACTATGCCTTCGGTCACTGACAACGGTCCAAAAGAAACGAAAGAAGATGTTGAAGAAACCACAATGGGAAGTTTTGATCCATGAACAACTCCGATTTGCTTTTTGTGGCAACCAGCTGGAAAAGGAAATATGTTGTTCCCCATTTGAAAAGTATCAGTTGAATTTTTAGGTGAGCTCACAAAAAGAGTATCTTCTTCAGGCAAAGAATATTCTCCCGCGCTTGGACCAGATAGCGAATACTTAATGAAATAAAGCCCTTCTTTTTTAGCTTTCACCGTTACAGACTGATTCAATGAACTATTGCTATGAAAAACAAGCACAGATGGAGTGAAATCAAGATTACGATTAATTAGATGTAGTATGACTTGGTTGGTCGGTTGTAACGCGATGATCGTTATTGGTGGGGAGACAACATTGGGGAGTATGGTGGGGTACTCAAAAATTGTAAAGAAAGCGATTTCACAGTTAGTGCCCTTGTATCCAGTGCTGGAACAGTCACATTTATAGGAGTCCTCATTGACTATGGAACATTTTCCTTCGTGAAAACAGGGGTTGGGTCGACAAACTTCAATTTCTAAAAAACAATATTGTTACATTAATAAATTAATGTGATTTTAATGCGACTTGATGAAAAAATCCAGTAAGGACTAGTAACAGAAAGAATGTTAACCTTATTTGCACTGGTATTTTTAGTTCTAACATATGGAGAGGGGAGGGGCTGATACCAATCTGTTGTAGAAAACACATTTTTCATCGACGTGGTCGCAGTCTAATTTTAACAAAATTCTAAACAATATTCGTAATATAAATGCCCCATAATTATTGTACTCGCGGTAGGATAATACCTATAGCTAGGTATACTCATATGTTAGTGTCACGATTAGCATTTAAAAATTAACCTTTGCAGGAAACGTTAGTTGGTTGCCAAAGTCCATTAGCATCACAGGTAATTACGTCAGTGTCAATGCGATACCCATCATTGCAGCCAAGCGAGCATTTTGAGCCATAATGAGTGGAACACGGGGAGTACACGAAGCCATTGGACGGTCTTTTGGGATTTACACAATGAGTTACTAAAATTACAAAATTACAAATTTTATAATTATGATGTAACTTGGATTTTATTAATGAAGAACTGATAAATATGCTCCACCGTTTAATAGTCACTCGTCATAACATATGGACCAATCAGTGACGGGTAAAACGTAAAGATATGCATACAAACAGATTTGCAATTACCCATTCAATTGGGTAATTTGAATAACATGCATAATTATTCATTATCAATGAAAGTCTTTCAATCTTAAAACATATTTTAATTTTATATGTGTATTTAAGAAGTTGTGCACGAAATATCCAAAACCATGATAAATATATGCCATTGCCCGGGCGCTGCAGTTATTGTACAGATATTTTGCATCTGTAGGAGGAGATGGGTTCGAAATTCTACTAAAGTCAGTTGTCAATTTCTTGCCGCGGAAACTAGGAAGAATTTTGTTTTCGACTAATCAGCAAATTTGTTTACATTTTCAATAATCCAATCAGAAACATAAATAATATGGATTATTTCCGGTAAAAAGGTTTTATTTCATGTTTAATGAAACTACACTCGTAGTGGGGATATTCCATCATATTCAAAATGCTGAAAAACTTCCAATTTTTAATAACAAAATTAGTTCTTGGAAAGAAATTTGAACCAAATCTGTCGAATGTCTTTAATTAGCAATACAACACTAAAAACGTACTTTTACATTCGGTATCATTTCCAGTCCATTGTTTATTTGAGCCGCATGTTCTGTCCACGGACCCAATTAAATTGTAGCCATGCAGACAGCCAAAGTTACATCTATCATCCGTCCAGTAACCAGTACAGTTCTTTATTCCATTTAAAGGCTTGTGTAACGGAAAACATGGTCGACCTGTCCATAATAAAGTAATTGGATGAAAAGAGAGGAACCATATAGTGGACTACGTTTCCTCTTAAAGAATTCACTGCATGTCATTTAATTTACAGTAATAGAATTTAATGTAAAGTACTGTAGTAGCCTAAATGTGCTTTTTAGCAGTAAATCTGTTTTTTTCCTTAAAATATAAGAAAATTGTTGCGTCTAGTTTTTACTCGCTATATTCCGAATTGCGCAATAAATCAAAATATGACAGTTGTTCTGAAACTTGAACTCAAACTTGAAATTTCGAAATAGGAAACATCCTACAGTTCCTACTATAATTCAAGGTGAATTTTTCTATTGAAGAATTCAAAGTTATACCTATACAACTTTTTCGATCGAGACGTAGATCAAACCCTGCCCTGCAGGAACACTTGTAGCTTCCTGGAGTGTTTGAACATATGTGGTGACAGTAATCCACTTGCTTTGAACACTCGTCGATATCTACCATTAGATGTAATTTCAAATTAGAACAGTCAACTTTCCTTTCCTGGTAGCGTTGACATCATGTATTCAACTAATGATTTTGGTATAGTGATATGTTAATCATTGAATAAATTATTTAAATATTTTATATTTAAATAAATATTATATGAAGAAGTGTTTTACCAATACAAGACGTTTGATCCGTGCCAAGGAAGTAGCCTTTTCTACAGGAACAATTAAAGCCGCCAATTGTATTCGTACAATCTTGAGCACACCCAGATATATTCTCCAAACATTCATTTATCTCTGTAGAGAAGGATAGATATCCATCAATTTGGATACTCATCGTTGCAAATTTTAGTCTCCTGCATGGCTAGGCTGTTTGGGGTGGCTTTTTAAAAACAACTATCCGCAGGAATAAAAAATAGCATCTTTAACGTAGCTTTGCCAGAGAACATATGCATTATAAGTAATTAGATTTGGAAAAGATATTTTGGAAATCATATGCACATCGTAGCTACTTTAAGGAACTTTTCCAGAGAGACAAAGAACTTTTTGGAAAAAAATGTACAAATATGCTATTAACAGAGAAAAGACTTCCCCCCTGGTGGTTGTTATTTTGAAACAAATTTCCTTTAATTGTGAAAACTCTGGGTTTCTGCGCTAACTATAGTTCAGATACCTTGTGTTTTAATGCGAGTATATATACTAAAATCTGTTTACAATCGCAAAACTCGCAATCAATTATTAATGCAGCAAAACAATTTTGGAGGAAGTGGAAGAGTAATAGTCTAATACGACTAATAGCTTGCGAGCTGAAAACGTGGTAAATTTTGTCAAATCATGCACGTGCCATTTTTGGAGGTCATCGTGGTCATGATAAAACTGGAAATAAAACTTATTTCTTCTTCAATAATGCGAGCTATAATATATATAGTACCGCTACATGTCTTCACATCAGTATTCAGTCTATATCCCCGTGAACAGGAACACGTGTAACCTCCAGGCCAGTTTATACAGTGTTGTTCACATCCGTGTACATTGCCCTCGCATTCATCATGATCTATATAACAAAGTTTGAAAAAGTGACATCGAAAGTTTAAGGAAATAGATTATAGAGGTTCTAGGCTAAAATTTTTGGGAGATCAATTTCGACATATTAGCATATACAGGCAGGAACACAGCAACACGTTGCTGGTATGTTTGTTCACGTTGCATATATGATTTACTGTGAGGGTCATCGATAACAACACCATACCATGTATTGCCAAATTTTGCAATTAAATCGAGAATATCTAAAGTTTGGGCCGGTACAGCTCTAGAGAATTACAAGGGAATAAGGTGGGTAATCTTCGTAATTTATTACCCGAGCAATTCTTTCCATTTGATGTAAGGTTAAATCCGCGGTTACAGCTGCACCTATATCCACCAACAAAATTGTTACATTTCATCTGGCAGCCGTGAATATAACCACTGCTTGGATTGCATTCGTCGATATCTGTAAAAATTTATTAGTTTCGCTCAGGTGTATGACTAATGATTTTATTAACGTTGTTTCAATAATGCGCTATGAATGTTTCTTTACTTGGCGATCAGGGTTGCCAGATTACTGAAAAAAGAAGCCAAACATTGTTTAAACATTAAACTGTTTTATATTATTAAACTGCGTTCTCGTATTCGCTGTTAAAGCTCCCTATAATCTACGAAAACTAGACCATCTGAAATTCAAGTTTTATAGGGTCTATTTATACATATTTGAAAGCCCAAGGAATTTCACCCAGGTTTTATGAAAAAAATATTTGATTAAATTTATTCGCGTAATTAATTTATAGTTGAAATATTCGCAGTTAAATTAATGTAGCTATAATAAATGTAAATTATTATTTTTTTGGAAAAAATGTGAAACTTTAAAATTAAAGTAAATTGCATATATTGCTTCGAAAACGTTTTTTCGTCGAAGTACGATAAGCTTCCACACTTAAATTACTCATGTTAAAAATTTTGTTTCGCCCCTTGAGATCTCGTCATTATGAATTTTTTCCATGCATTTTTTCTCACCTTTACATGAATTATTTGTCGGTAAAATGCCAAATCCGTTCACACAGGGACAACTGTAATTTCCAGGAACGTTGACGCATCTGGAGTTCGCTCCACAGGAATAGTTGCCTGCAATACACTCATCAATATCTGAAATATAGCAATTAATTTTCTATATTTTTTATATGTCAGATCCAAAACTTTTTCCAATTGTCGTTAATGTATAATTATATGAATAATAATATACGAAGGTAGGCAACTTCTTTAGAGCTGCATGACGAAGTAATCGTGCAAACAAATTGCAAAAATTATCCATATACACGCACGGATAAAAATTCGAGGAATGCTTTAACTTTTCCTTATTATTGTTTAGTATTTTTATATTTTGCGCTTGTTGACATGCAAGGCTTCCTGTACTTAATGGACTCTACTGGAAATTACCTTGCTAGCATGCATTTTTTAGCGATACCCTGAAAACTTCATATATTAATCTGGCTTGCTCGGTCTTTACCGAGAAATATCGCACCGAGATCTTTTGAAGGCATGCATTTTCACTTAAAACAAACAAGAAATACACGAATTCTCATTAGTGTTCTAGTACGCATTTGATAAACACAAAAATAAGATATTGCACGTTTAGTTTATCTAGCTAAATCTGTCTGCAGACATCTTATTAATTTCAATAGCAATTAAATTTGCCATCCAGCGTTGATTTGTGCTGTTTTCTTTCAGAATTCCTCTGTTTATCGTTGCCTAATGGATCGCCGGTCACGTCGGTCCATTACAAGAAAGTGCAGGTCGATTACGTGAAAGTATAATAGACTGCTGAAAATTCTTCTCAATTAAACACTGGCTCCATTTTGCCGGAAGTGACGTTTACCATATAAATAATAATCAATAATTGCGCGCATTCGTCAAAAAGTTTTTGAAAAAATATAAAAATTTGTTCATGCCATATTGCAAGTCTAGTTGCTCTGAGTGGAAAAAACTTGTAGGAATCCTCAATCACTATAGTTACCCAGACCAGACTCACCCCGGCAATGGTGGAAAATAGACGGTTTTTGTTAACACAATAACAAACTAAGTTTTAATATACTAGGCTATAAATATATAAAACTTCTACGATCTATCTGAAATAACCTGTCGCTAATTTACTTAGACTGAACGGAATACAAAACTTTTAGTTCATTATAGAGAACAATGCAATAGAACAATGAAACAATAGAATAAGCCAATCGACCCATTTTGTTTGCTCGGGGTAAAACGCTAATTAATAAAACATTTTGGTTTTTTGTCGCGCTCTTTGTATATTTTTTAGAATATTTTTTAAAAAAAATCAGAATCGCTTAATTAAGGATATATTCAAGACTGCATGCCTTGAAATTTTTAGAACAGAAAAATCTTGATTTTTTCTGTAGTGGACCACCCTAACAGGTGTTTGGCCGATGGTGATGAAAGGTCATCCGGTTTATATTAAGTCTGAAATATCAAAGGTTACTTTGTATTCATCTTTGGTTCACGTGCACAGCAGATGACGCAAAATTCCTACAACCAATCAGAATATTACCTGCGTAATTTGACATGAATTTAACCAATTAAAAACCAGAAATATGAACACAATAGATAAAACATGCTTGCTGAAAGTCACTGTGTTCTAAAGTTCCAACGAGGCACACTACAGATTTACAAAGCTGCGAAACTTTACCCACCCATCCACACCGTTTATCACGCAGTTGTGTCTGATTTCAGCTCATAGTATGTCTCTTAAGAGCAATTGAATTATTAAATCACCGTAAAATTGTGCAGATAATTGTTTTCGTTTGTTAAAATGTTTTTTCCATAAAAAATAATGTTACCAAATAATATTATATACACTTTGTATTTATACTAAAACAACTATTCGCCTCAGGTCGCGGTAAAAATCGCTTAATAAAAGCTTTTCCCACCTTGGCAGCTTCGCAGATCTTCTTTCAAAAAATAGCCCGAAGCACAATTGCAGGTGTAGTTACCCTGCGTGTTTCTACATCCTGGCTTGTATCCACATTGATTCTGACTTGTCGCACATTCATTGATATCTAAAGTATTCCAGTTAAATTTGTTTCATGAAAAACACCGGATGAAGCAAAAATTTTTCACGGATGACCTGAAGATATAGCGGCTTATGTAGCTACCGCAAATTCAAGTCATCGCACTATCCCAGTGTGCAGTGTCAAATTAATCTAAATTCCAAACTTATAATAGATAACTACACTGTAATAAAGGAATAAAAAATTATAGAAAATGCTTACCGCTATTACACAGAGATCCTGTCCAACCACCTGCACAACGACAAGAGTTAGGGGCGATGCATTTGCCACCATTCTTACAACCACCTGTGCATATGGCTAGTATAATAAGCAGACCATGAATCGTTAGGATAGCATACAATTTTGTAATTACCTTGTTTTAAAACTTTAATTCACAATTCTACACAGTTGTCATCGTGCGGCACTGGAATAGTGACACTTTAATTAGACTTACGTGTTAAACACTCTTTGCCTTTAGGTAGCCATCCAGGTTTGCATGAATAAATTGGACTTTTTCTTTGAACCGTTGTATACACATTTTTCCATGTTTGGTAATAGACAGTACTTTTACAGCCATATAAAGAAATAAATTATTTTCAAACGGCATTTGATAAATATCACTCTATAATTACCAACAATATTAATTTTATTATTTTCTTGTATTCCCATTTTCTGACTGGATTGTTTTTCTTACAGAGCGAGTGTTATTGAATTCGGCGCATGTCAGAATATTAGAATTATTTAGATCTTGCATGGTCAGCTATTTAGATTGGTGCACAAGTGTTGATAATTATTTTACATCTATGGCAATTTTTCACTTGCAAGTTGCACGCAGATTTTTCGACCTGTTTCATGCTCTCTGAGTTCAGTCTTTAAGCCATTTCTCTCAAGTGATGTCTAATTCAGGATGTGCTATATAAAATGAGTTACATTCCTGTGATTTCCGCATGTATGGTCATAATATACCTTATCCATAACTATAAAGTACTTTAAGCCGTGACACCTGCAGGGAATTCTGATCTTAGTCCGTCACGGCGAAAAAATCAAGCTTCAAACTAAAATATCCTGCTGTGACTACTTAAACCAGAATTCCTTGCAGGTGTCACGGCTTGTTACGTCATTATACATAAAGCATGGATATGATAGACCTAGGCTTCTAACACATGCATACCTAGGGCGAGTGACCTATAGAATAGAGAAACTTCAAGATGACGGAAAAACCTGGCAAAAACATTAGAAATTCCGTCATAGGTAATTCACGTTTTTCAAAGATTTCGGTTTATATCTGCAAATCCCTTCCGTATGCATTTTTTTTTGAAAAGAGTTTTTGTCGTTTCAATAAAAAATTTTCTGAAAAATAAACTTTAAAAAATTGAAAACTTTTATATGCTTTCATCACATAAACGCAATCACGTATGCATAATTCAAGTGGGATATGGACTACAATTTAAGACTTAAAAGCTATGAAAAACACCACACAAGAAATTCTACCCTCTTATTTAATATCTTTCAAATTTCATTAATGATGCGCCACAGTGTATTTAGGTATATAAAAATTAAAACAAAACAAAATTAAATACAATAAATACATTACAATAATATATAGACTAAACTGCCAGATAAGAAGAAGTTTATCTAATAGTTCACATTAACTTTAAATGGCAATGCTAAAATTGTTAAGTTGTTCTCTTTGAAAAAGTTTGATTCAGACTTTATTTAAGTCAGTTAACTACAACTTAAATTCTAAAAGCATTATTTTATATTTAAAAAATTCATATACTGATCATTTTATCGATGTATATCGTCAATGAATGTAGAGTAAATAATTCGCCATTTCCGTGTAAAAGTTATATTTTTTAGAAACAATTAATTACCAAATAATAGTAGATTAGGATTAGGAAAAGTGAAACCAAGAGTTAGTTGGTAACAAAACATACATCTTTGAACTGGCCAACTACGTTTCACGACTACGTTTCACGGAACGTTTGAAGAAGGATATTTTTGTATAAATATACAGCCCAACCATTCTATTTTGATTTCAAAAGTTTTTTTAAGTTTCGTAATAGGACAATTTAATTGAAAAAAATGCGAACGAGGGAGATTTTCAGTAGTAAACCGGAGAAATCTTTCAAAAACATGGACTTTATAATAGAATTCCTAATATTTTTGCTGGTTCGTCCGCTATCATGGTATGTGCATGTCAGGTGTCAGCAATCTAGGTCTATTAAATCTACGGCATATGGTCTATACGTGGATGGATTGACACTGTATTAACATGCACCTGTTATTGCTCAACTGCACTAACTTTCTGCACTTACTTACAAACTCTTTTGTACCGTAAACACGAACCCCAAACAGAATAAGAGCAGGTGCTTGTACAAGTGTCTCTTCTATTTACAACTTTGATGCTCCTTCCCTCCGTGAAATAGTAGTATCGGTATTTAGTTTGCACATTTTTCCTTTACGAAAGACAAAATTAAAATCCATGTCGACGAGGTTGAAAGTACTGAGTAGAGCTACTTATTATTAGAATGATAAAATTACTGGACGCTCATTAGTCGAGAGGGATACAATTATTTAATTATTTGTATATCTTCTCTATTTAAAGGCAGTATGTAACTAGGAAGCATTTTGTTTTCTTCATCTTTTTGAAAGATGTTAAATCGTCAATTAGGGTATAACACCACTTTAAGTGAGTAAGGAATTTGTTAGATAACCCTCCCTAGGTTGGTCTGATACATTTGAAAAAAAGCGTGAAGAATCAGGCGGGTGTGCCTTAGCGCTAAATGCGAAAAAAACAAATTATATTAATTAAGAAACGAGATCCTTTCTAAAAGACGAAAATGAAAAAACACGTGGAATACACGTAAAAAAATTGATGAAAAACTGGTAATGATGCATCGCGTGAACTAGATGAGATTTCTATTATCTTCAGGCTACTAATTCCGACTGGTGATCAGCTGATAGTCGATGCAATTTGTGTCCATGCTGCATTGCGTTAAATTCATACCATGCATAGTCAAAACTGGTAGTAATCGGTTTTCGATTGAGAAGGGCACAACCCCTAGGATCAATTACAACACCTGCAATATAGCGGCTTTCTCACAATCTAAAGAAAACAGTTTTACAAACTTTGCGAGCCCCTTTCCAAATGAAATGAAAACTATCACCAGCTTTACACGAAAGGTAACGTGGGAATTATTTGAAAAGAAGACGGAACGGATAAAATTCAACACTAAAAGCGGTAAAAGAGGAACCATTTACGATTGAAGTTTTTTAAGCAGAGAAGTGTCTATTATGTTTGGTCTTTTCTCTACTTGCCGTAACAATGGATTAATTTGTAAGCTTATATTATGTTATGAACTTGGCATGTCGTTTCACAAACGAAGATATAAATCATCATGAGAGGCTACTAAACAAGATAATTAAAATTTAGCAAATTTGATTTTTTGTTTTAAAAAAGAAAATTTCATTTTTGATTAAGCAAATGTCCCTTCAAAGCTTAGACTGCACCAATATTCGGACATTAACCATCTATCAAGAAGCTATAAATATACGTGTAAATAATTATAAATACACGTGTAAATAATTTCTAGCCGCATGCAATAACAGTAAGCTGTGAAATTCTTACCCATCGGGATGCAACTGACATTGACCAATAGAAATGAGGCAAAATACACAGTGCAAACAAAACTGTAGTAGCTTTAATTGTTTCATTCCTAGAGATGATTCTTCGACAGCAGCTGGATGAAAATACTGGCGATAATTTCTGTGATTGTAAGTAATAAACATACACTATTTGCCAGCGCTGTTTCTTCATTGGTCGAAACATCCTTATGTTGTTCATCACATGCTGCGTTATATTTTGCAAACAGGAACTTTTGCCAACTTCCTTTTCAGAACTTCTACCTTGACAGCTGACAACGATCAAACAACTGCAAGTGTGTGGAATGTTATCAGTTAAAACAGTGATTTAGAGCACGATCAATTTGATCGAAGGGAACGGATGTGGATATTGAATTCTTGCAACGTTACGAACGGTAACAGGAAGATGAACTATTCAAGCAAACAAAAGACTTAAAGGCTTTATTTAATTCATTAAGCAAATTAAGCATAATTTATTAAGCAAAATAACTGCGCTTTAAAACATCTTTGTGATCTATATGATGTACTTTAAATGAATGGACCTGATCACGATATTTCAGTCTGCATTACTGCTTCGATTCCACGAACTCTTGAAAGGAATAACAAACATATTTCTGTTTTATACTTTTATGCATGTTTTTACTTTATAACCACCTTAACTGAGAGAGGTTTCAAATCTTACTCGTTCAAGCTATGTGGAAAAATGCAAAACATCCTTCTTCAACACACGCAAAAAAAATTTTTCATTTTGACAAACAAGTGTGAAAAGCAGCCATAACACAAGAACGAGCTGCCGGTTGTGGCCTGGTAGCCTCGTTTTAGTGTTACGAGTTATTTCCGCATTTATTGGTCAAAATTAAAAATTCTTTTTTATGCGTGTGTTGAAGAAGGATGTTTTGCATCTTTGCCATGGCTCGTAAGAGTAAAAGTTGAAATCCATCTCATTTAAGGTGGTTCTAAATTTATAACGATAATGTTATGACGTAATTATCGAAAGGGGCTAATATTAACCACAAAACTAAAACTATGGGGTGTCCCAAAAAAGCTCCATTTGACCACCTTGAAATGAAGCTAGATATAATTATCCTTATTATCACGGTATACCTAAGCTTGGCGTAAAACGATATAAAACGAGGTTTTGCATTTAAAGGCTGTGTTCGAAGGGAGTATTGCTATTATAAGTATGGGTATTGAAAAGATGTTCTTATTGAAATAAAAAACTATATCGATGCAGTAAAAATCGAATTCCTGCAATATATCGAATAGATAAAACACTAACAATCATCAGGAAGAAGAACCATGCAAATTATTACTATATTATTAGCTTTTTAAAACATCTATTCATATGTAAATACGGGTCAAGGTCGGTGAAATTTCTGACCTTGTAATCTGTATAAGTTTTATAATGATCACTTAAGTATGCGAGACATCCATATCACGATAGGGCAAAAAAGCCAATTCCCAACTATAAGAGGAAAAAAAAGAGATAAAAAGATCGCTATTGTCATAATTATTTGATATCAATCTATCCCTAATTTGCGATTAAACCTCATTGTGTCACAATGGAGAACGCTCTATGTAATATACAAATGCAACCAAACACAAAATATTTACCAAAATTTAAGTACCATGTAATCTTTTTCTACGCATTTCCGTCATAACCCAACCTACGTGGGAAAACGAATAGTTCAGTTGTCCGGCCACAATATATAGTATTTATATAGGCTATACGTTCTTATGAAACTGGATGAATTTGAGGACGTTTTGGATTTCGTTCTGTTCCTCGTGTGAGCTTTTAATTTTTTTTCTATTTTTGCTGGTGTGAACACTGAACCGGACGAGATAACTAAGTTGTTTTGTTTTT